AGAGCGGTTGGAGCAAAGGATGTACTGATTAAGTGGAAGAATCTTCTAGTTTATGAAACGACATAGAAATTGTATGAGGTGATCCTGAAGCAGTTTCCATCATTACACTTTAAGAATAAAGTGCTTTCTAGGAGGAGAATATTGATACATCCGCTGTTATGCCGATCTAAGAAGGACCAACTTTGTCTCCTGTTACGTAGGTCGAGGAGAGACCAGCTCTGCCTGTTGTTGTGCCGAACTAGGAGGAACCGGCTTGGATCGAGTATGTCTAACCCGACCATACCTCCCAAGGGAAAAAGGTGGGACCCTCCTGTCACGAGAAGATAGTTGATCACACATAAGAGGTAAAGGTATTTATGAGGGCTAAGTGGCGACAGTTTGTGGAAGGTTTTGTTTTCTACAGTCTTTGCTTTCGTGTGTTGCTCTTAGCGGCGTCTAAGATTTGTGGTGAGCCAATCAACCTCTCAGAAAATATATCAACATTGTATCTTGTTTGTTTTCGTTGTTATTAGTAAAATCAGCCCTCATTTGAATTTTCCCGTATCTCTATTACAATTTATTCGATGTTTTTCTACCAATTTTGATTCCGAATCGTATCAGTATGTCAATGCTAGTTTAGTAAAATATTAAATAAGCGATTTTTATGAAAAAAATATTATGAAAGAGCTCAATATAATTAATATATTTTGGAATGATTCAAAGAGGCTAAGTAAAATTAGCTCCATACAAGATGCATAAAGTTATGTTTGTATGTATAAGAAACAAATTGATATCTAAAAATTAAAAGGAAATAACAATGATTTGGTCAATAGATCTTTTTCATTTTTGAAACCTAAAAGGAAACCATATGAATGAAAAAGAAACATTTTGATGCCATATATGACGCCATTGGAGAGCGTAATACAGCACGAGCCAAGAAAAATTATCTCAATTTCATATAACCGATTAAGCTTAATTTATAGAAAATATATCACAGAAATAATATGTTAAGACAATTATTGAAAATTTATAGAACTCAAAAATAAGATCTTTGTACGGTTAATTTTGACTTTGAAAATGCATGTGAATAAGTACAAAGCAAATTGAATTGCAGACATTATGATAAAAAAATATATTAAATAGAACACATGCTTGTAAAAATTATCTCAATTTCATACAACCAATTAAGTTTTACTCGAAGAACATAAATCAAAGAAAAAATGTGTTAAGATACTAATGAAAATTTAGAGAAAGCAAAAATAAGATCTTCATACGATTATTATTGATTTTGAGAATGCATGTGAATAAGTACAAAGAGAATTGAATTGACTGACATTATGATAAAAATATATATGTAGTATGTTGGCATTATTAAATAAATGTGTGAAGAAACATTAATTAGTACTAGAATTAGTAGTGGAGTGATCCATGCATTTTCAATTATTTTACATTAAAGGTAGGTATTGAATCCATATTTTTTAATATTTATTATAGTAATGTTTATAAAGGATAATCTAAACATGGTACCATAATGTATGCTCTTGCAATAAACATATAATTAAAATAAGTGAAAATTAATAATGGAGGAAATGTTTAGAAGACAAAACATAGAATTAGTAGAACAAATGTTGAAATAAAAGATATGTGATTTTAGTGAATGTTAAATTAATAATTATTATTCAATATAATTAAAAGATAACATGTCTTGATTTAATAGATTTAAGCATTTTCGATCTACTATACAAAATAATAGAGATATAAATAAGGATAAATTCTAAAGTTAAGGTTAGGTGGTTAAAATCAAGAACTATTATAAGTGTTTTTTGCGATAGGAGTGTATCAAGGAAACTTAATGTGAGTTCTATAAAATTGCAATTAGGCCTACAATAGTGTGTGGATTTGAATGTTTAGTAGTATAATAATCCTTAATTTATTTTGAGCATAATAAAATTTGAGAATGTTGAGATATATGTGCGAAAAATTTCAGATAAAGTAAGGAATGATTATATTAGGGGATGGATAGAGTATCATTTATTGAAGATCAGATAAGTGAAAATAGATTTAGTTGGTTTAAACATGTAAACAAAAAGTAAAAAACAAAACTAGTGGACAAGTACATATAAATTAGTGTCAAGGGGCTAAGAATGTGAGGAGGTAAACCTAAGATTATATAGATAAGTTGTGCAAAATAGTTTATGAAAAATAGGCTTAAATCTTTAATAGAATTCACCAATAATGAATGAAACATAATAATTAACATAGCTAACCCAAATTGTTGGGATAAGGGTAATGATAATGACAAATAACAAGTTCAATATGCTAAAATATAACTTACTACTGGTATGCTAACATCAGGTAAAAAAAAAGCATCATACCCATATTTTAAAGTTCACCAAGCTCAGTTTATATAATAATAAAGAAGTAAGATTATCATAAAATCATGTTCATGTCCATCCACATAAACCAGGGAAGCACAAAAATGGGAAAACAAAACTTAAGAAATGAAGTACGCATGTATTGCTTGGGAAATTAAAATGACAAATAAGGAAAACCATCATAAGAGAAATTGTCCTTTCAACAAATTTCCAAATAAAACCAAATCTGTTGGCCAAGACTACAAGAAATATCCAAAAACATAATTAGAGAAAGAAAAACGGAATATTATAGCAAATAAATCAGAACAAAATTTCAAGTTTAAAGCAGAATTGAAGTTCTAAGTCACAGCAACTGGCATACATGCACTTGAACTAAGCTAACATAGGAAAACGTACACAACATACAGAAAAAGACATCAGATCAATAAAGCTTATCAATACATCTAACCTCAATAAAAGAGCTAGAGTGAAGATCCATGGAATGTGTTATTGACCTATATTATCCTATGTTCTACAGCAGAATCATAAATGGTACTTAACTTCAAGTCATCATATTGCCGGTAGTATAAATGATAAACTCCACGTGGAATACGAAAAGAGAAATAACTTCTTATAAATGATCGAGTTCATATACCTTAATGCCCGTAGAAAGGTGCCAACCCACTCGCTCCCAAAGAATACAAAATAATAGAGATATAAATAAGGATAAATTCTAAAGTTAAGGTTAGGTGGTTAAAATCAAGAACTATTATAAGTGTTTTTTGCGATAGGAGTGTATCAAGGAAACTTAATGTGAGTTCTATAAAATTGCAATTAGGCCTACAATAGTGTGTGGATTTGAATGTTTAGTAGTATAATAATCCTTAATTTATTTTGAGCATAATAAAATTTGAGAATGTTGAGATATATGTGCGAAAAATTTCAGATAAAGTAAGGAATGATTATATTAGGGGATGGATAGAGTATCATTTATTGAAGATCAGATAAGTGAAAATAGATTTAGTTGGTTTAAACATGTAAACAAAAAGTAAAAAACAAAACTAGTGGACAAGTACATATAAATTAGTGTCAAGGGGCTAAGAATGTGAGGAGGTAAACCTAAGATTATATAGATAAGTTGTGCAAAATAGTTTATGAAAAATAGGCTTAAATCTTTAATAGAATTCACCAATAATGAATGAAACATAATAATTAACATAGCTAACCCAAATTGTTGGGATAAGGGTAATGATAATGACAAATAACAAGTTCAATATGCTAAAATATAACTTACTACTGGTATGCTAACATCAGGTAAAAAAAAAGCATCATACCCATATTTTAAAGTTCACCAAGCTCAGTTTATATAATAATAAAGAAGTAAGATTATCATAAAATCATGTTCATGTCCATCCACATAAACCAGGGAAGCACAAAAATGGGAAAACAAAACTTAAGAAATGAAGTACGCATGTATTGCTTGGGAAATTAAAATGACAAATAAGGAAAACCATCATAAGAGAAATTGTCCTTTCAACAAATTTCCAAATAAAACCAAATCTGTTGGCCAAGACTACAAGAAATATCCAAAAACATAATTAGAGAAAGAAAAACGGAATATTATAGCAAATAAATCAGAACAAAATTTCAAGTTTAAAGCAGAATTGAAGTTCTAAGTCACAGCAACTGGCATACATGCACTTGAACTAAGCTAACATAGGAAAACGTACACAACATACAGAAAAAGACATCAGATCAATAAAGCTTATCAATACATCTAACCTCAATAAAAGAGCTAGAGTGAAGATCCATGGAATGTGTTATTGACCTATATTATCCTATGTTCTACAGCAGAATCATAAATGGTACTTAACTTCAAGTCATCATATTGCCGGTAGTATAAATGATAAACTCCACGTGGAATACGAAAAGAGAAATAACTTCTTATAAATGATCGAGTTCATATACCTTAATGCCCGTAGAAAGGTGCCAACCCACTCGCTCCCAAAGAACTAATTCCTGACTGAGGCCTCATAGCTGCAGAAGATGCTGAATTCTGGTAAGCTCCAATACCCTGCAGCGCTGCCAGGGAACCATAATTCCCAATTACACTCGGGCTTATACTGTTCACACCAAGCCCAGATGCCCTATTTGCTGATCCAACCGGTCCAATGGCATAAGACTGTGGAGGAATGCCAGCACCTCCAACTGTGTAAGGTTGTTGAGGAAAACCAGCACCTCCCACACTCAAAGCAGGAGACAACCCAGCTACTGGATTAAGCAGGCCAACCCCAACACTCGGTCCAATCACTGTCGTTGGTGCTGGGGTCAATTTCTGCCCAATCAAAGCAGCTGCAGGAGCATAACTAAGAGCGAAATCATTTGCCTGCCGCCCAGTAAGCACGGTTTCCGAAGCAACCGCTGGTGCAATCTGGGTATTATTGATCTTATTAGACCCTTCAAATGCCTTCCTGCAGTGCAGCTCACAGCCCTCAAAATACTTCGTTGGCTCTTCCAAAGCTTTATTTAACCCTTCCACAGTCTTGTAGATAAAAAGTGCGTAGCCACGAAGCTTCCCCGTTGCCGGATCGTACCCAAGCGGTCCCTGCTCGATCTCTCCAAATTTCGCGAAAAATGCAAGGAGGCGTTCAGGATTAACGTTGCTTCCCAAATTGCCAACGTATAACTTCCTGCCGGTGACCTCCGAGGGGATCTGCCCAGCTCCAGAAGTGTGGCCCAAGTAAGCGAGCTGGCAGTGAGTAATGCGGCCACCAATCTTCTTTAAGGGCTCCTTGGTAGCGCGCCGGGCCGCAGAAAGGGAGCTGAAGAGTATGAAACCGTACCCTTTGCATCGTCCTGTGGCGTGATCGGTGACCACCTTGCATTCATCCATCTTGCCAAAGGGGGAAAAGGCCGCGGCTAAGGTCTCGGAGGTGACGTCCCAGCCGAGACCATGGACGAAGATATTGCGGTGCACGGGATCGGCCTCAGCCGTCTTGACCACGCGGGAGAGAAGGGAGGGATTCTTGAGGACGGCCTCCTGGATCATTTCGATCAATTGGTCCTTGCCGAAAGGCTCGAGGAGCTTGCGGATTGATTCTTTGCTTGAGAAATCCTCCGCTTCGTCCTCATCTCCCTCTAACTCATCTTCATCAACATCTTCCTCTTCATCTTCATCTGCTTCTTCTTCTTCTTCATCTTCATCAGCATCTTCATGTTCGTTCTCTTCTTCTTCCTCTTCACTTATTTCCTCCTCCCCGTCGGGGGATTCGCTAGATGGCTGTTCGTCCTCTGACTTCACCTCTATGACATGGGTGTCGAGCTTTCTCTTCCTCGCCATCAGTTCTAGGGTTTTTCTTTTTTTTTTTCGGCTAGAATCGCACCAGGAAGAAAAAAGAAAGGGCTTATAAAAGAAGAAGAAGATCAAGCGGGTTCGGATTTAATACGTAATTGTTATAAATTTATATACCTATTTAAATTTTTACTCTCCCATGGGTTAATTGGGAGCAAAGGTGGTATCACTCTTTTGCAGCAGGTTACAACTTATAAGATCACCCATTCATGAACAGCTTCTGTTCAGCTCATTCATTAAGTTAAAGAGTCGAATAAGAACAACACGAATAAATATTTGTTTGTCCATGTTCAACTTGTTTTGACTCGAAATACTACTAATCAATTATATATATATATATATATATGATGAATAGTATTTTTAAAAAATTTAATTGACTACTAATAAAAAATTTAATTGACTACAAGGCTACAAAAATTTATAATCAATTAAAAGTATTAATTAAGAAAATAGAAAAAAAAAATTATTGAATTAAATTCAAATGATGCTTTAAATCTTGCCCCAATGCCCTTGATCCATTGATCATCGATAGCTTGTTCATTATAGAGGGTCTGTATAGGACAAATATAATAAAATTAATATTATTATTATAAACAGACGAGTCAAACACAAACACACTTTTTGAGCTCAAAATATAAACGAGTCGAACACTGGTATTGGGCTCGTTTACACCCCTAGGTGGTGCTAATCATATTATTTGTTCAGATCCTTGATTTTTCTTAAACACTCAAATCTATAATATCATATCTAAAATAAAAATATTATTTTTTTTCAACTAAAATATAGCTAAATTTAATTTATAAATATCAATATTTCTCGGATGACCTTTATACAAATATTCTTCTTATATATAGGCTAAAGACACCAAGTGCTATATAAATATGAAGATTAGGTGTGAGATATATAAATACATAAGAACTGTATGCTATGTATGTAAAATTCTCTTTCTTTTATCATAGTGATCCTCTTAAGAAATCCACTATATATCTTGGCAAACTTTTACCAAACCTTAGCATTGTGAGGGTTTAGGTTTGTCTAAATAGAGCTATCAAAAAACTCATTATTCGTGATCAGCTCGTGTTTGACTGGTTAAATAACTCGTGTTTCATTTGCTCATTAAACAAGCTATCAAAAGATGAATAATGTTTTTTAGCTCGATTTATAAACAAGTCAAACACGAAAAACAACATTCGTTCATTTTCACCTCATTTTGACTCGAAATAATCAAATAATTAATAAACAATACATAAACTTTTAATCTTGTTCAATTTGTTCATTTACTAGCCCATTTTGA